CATGGGCAACTCGTAACTGATAGGATGGAAAAACCAGAGCTCTTAAATAATTTCTTTGCTTCTGTTTTACTGAACGCAGATACAAATACACTTCCCAATGAGTCTTTAGTCTGGAGTGTGAGTAGTAGCAAACCATCAACAGTTAGCACTGACCTAGTGAAGGGGCACTTGGAAGGGCTGGACATATTTAAGTCGGTGGGCCCTGATGATCTTCACCCAAGGGTACTAAAGGAATTGGCTGATGTCATAGTAAAACCACTGGTGCAACTGTTCGAGCACTCGTGGGACTCAGGACAGGTCCCAGAGGACTGGAAAAGGGCCAACATGGTCCCTATTTTCAAGAAGGAGAGGAAGGAGGACCCAGGTAATTATGGGCCAATTAGTCTTGCCCCTATTCTCAGAGAGACCTTAGAAAAAATTATAAAGGATCACATTTGCAGGGGGCCAGCGAGTCACACTATGGTAAGGGGCAACCCGCATGGGTTTATAGCAGGTAGATCCTGCCTGACTAACCTGGTCTCTTTTTATGACCAGGTCACAAAGTGCTTAGATACAGGAATGGAAATAGATATTATTTACCTGAACTTTAAAAAGGCTTTTGACACAGTGTCGCACCCAATTCTTATGGGCAAACTGAGTAGCTGTGACGTGGATTTTTTCACCATAAAGTGGGTGAAAAGCTGGCTCACGGGACACACCCAGAGAGTGGTGATGGATGGCTCAGTTTCCCCTTGGAGGGATGTTGGCAGTAGTGTCCCCCAAGGCTCTGTCCTTGGACCAGTGCTGTTTAATATCTTCATCAGTGATTTGGATGAAGCTGTTGAAAGCACCTTGTCCAAATTCGCAGACGACACTAAACTATGGGGTACAGTTAACACACTGGAGGGCAGGGAGCAAATTCAGGCAGATTTGGACTGCCTGGGGAAGTGGGCAGATCAGAATAGGATGCAATTTAACAGGGATAAATGCAAGGTGCTGCACCTGGGGAGAAAGTACCTCCAACATACCTATAGACTGGAGGTACCATTCTGAGCACCACAACAGTGGAAAGAGAACTCAGAGTCCTGGTTAACACAAAAATGAACATGAGCCGCCAGTATGACGAGGCAATAAGCAAGGCCAACTGCCCTCTTTCTTGCATCAGCAGGTACATCACGAGCAAGTCTAGGGAAGTGACAATTCCCCTCTATACAGCATTGGTGAGGCCGCAGATGGAGTACTGAGTCCAGTTTTGGGTGCCGTACTTCAAGAGGGATGTGAATAACCTTGAGAGGGTTCAGAGAAGGGCTACTCCTCTGAACACGGTGGATGTAGTCTTTCTGGACTTCAGGAAGGCCTTTGACACTGTCTCCCACTCCATTCTCATTAAAAAGCTAGGTGACTGCAGCACTGATGCCTACACAGTCAGATGGATTGCTAATTGGCTGAGGGGTCGTACTCAGAGAGTGGTGATGGATGGGTCATTTTTGACCTGGAGGGAAGTGAGAAGTGGGTAGTAGGGTCCCTCAGGGCTTGGTCCTATGGCCCTCATTGTTCAATTTCTTTATTAGCAACTTGGACAACGAGATGAAGAGCAGCCTGTTTAAATTTGCAGACAACACCAAGATTCGGGGTGAGGTGGGCACGCTAGAAGGGAAGGACAGATTACAGCAGGACCTGGACAGGTTACAGGGGTGGGCAAATGAAAATAGGATGGGATTCAATACTGACAAGTGCTGGGTGCTGCACTTGGGCAGTAGGAACCAGCAGCATACCTATAGGCTGGGGAACTCCCTTCTTGAAAGCACGGTGGCAGAAAGAGATCTTGGAGTCATTATTGACTCCAAGATGAACATGGGCCAACAATGCGAGAACACGTTCAGTAGGGCTAACTGTACCTCGTCCTGCATCCAGAGATGCATCACAAGCAGGGCCAAGGAGGTGACCCTCCCCTTCTATGCGGCACTGGTCAGGCCACAGCTGGAGTACTGCATTCAGTTCTGGGCACCACACTTAAGGATGGATGTGGACAACATTGAGAGGGTCCAAAGGAGGGCCACTCGCATGATCCAGGGACAGCAGGGCAGACCCCATGAGGACAGGTTATGGGACCTGAACCTGTTCAGCCTTCGCAAGAGAAGGCTGAGGGGGGACCTGACGGCCATCTATAAATTTACTAGGGGGGGACCAGCAGGGATTGGGAGAGACCTTGTTCCCTCAAGCGCCTCCTGGAGTAACAAGGAATAAAGGCTGTAAGTTGCAAGAGAGTAGGTTTAGACTAGACATTAGAAGGCACTGCTTTACAGTCAGGGCGGCTAGGATCTGGAACCAACTTCCAAGGGAAGTGGTGCTGGCTCCTACCTTGGGTGTCTTTAAGAGAAGGCTCAATGTTTACCTAGCTGGGGTCATTTGAGGCCAGTTTTCTCTCCTGCCCACGGCAGGGGGTTGGACTAGAAAATCTATAAGGTCCCTTCCGACCCTACATCTATGAATCTATGAATCTACTCGTATGATTGAGGGCCTGCAGGTAAGACCCTATGAAGACAGACTAAGGGACCTGAATCTCTTCAGCCTCTGCACGAGAAGGCTGAGAGGTGATCTTGTGGCTGCCTACAAACTTATTGGGGGGGGCCAGCAGGAAATAGGGGGCACTCTGTTACGAGGGCGCCCCTCGGGGTTACCAGAAACTGAAGGAGAACAGATTTAGATTGGACATAAGGAATAAATTCTTTATGGTGAGGGTTGCCAAAATATGGAATGGGCTTCCAAGGGAGGTGGTGCTTTCTCCTACCTTGGAGGTGTTCAAGAAGAGATTGGAGAGGCATCTGGCTGGGGTTACTTAACCCCAGCACTCTTTCCTGCTTGGAGCAGGATGAAATCTAGCTTAAAGTATGCTAGAGACTGAGATCCAAGGAAAAGGGACACATCCTTTACAGAGCATGGCAAAATTTCACAAAATTTTTCACCAATTTGACTAAATTAATTCCTGACTGCAAATATGGCAATCAGACAAACTGTGAGCAGAGCTAGTTTGTCTCAGCAGGAACATTGGCACACCTCAGTCAAAATTCCCCGCCTTGGCTGCAGCCAACACCCAATGCTTCTGAGGAAGGTGAACCCCACCCCTCCCACAACACGTGTAGCAACAGCAGGGGAAAAAATTTCTAGGCAGCCCCAAGTGGCAACCAGCAAAGTCTAGAAAGCATAGGCAATTACTATAGCAGAGCATAAGCATAGCTACTCCTAGATTATGTCTAACAATAAGGGCAGCCCATCAAGTAATAGGCACAGAATAGAGTGAATCTGGAATATTTTTACTGAAAATTTCCCACCACTTTGGACTTGCATTGAAAATATTATACTGAAGAGAATATATCAAAGAATATAATATTATCAATTGCCAACTCATGAATTAGTACCAGTCAAGATTAATGTATGTGATACACATGAGGAAAAATGTGCCTGACGATCCTTTTGAAGAAGCACTACCTAAGCTCCAGAGTATTTTCCTGCTATATTGGCACTGCTATCATATGCTCATCCACATCAGAGTTTGAAAGTTAATTTATGTTCACATATGGTGTTGTGAATCATCTCAGCTATTTCCATGACACTCTTCTTGGTAAAGTCTCTGAAGCACAAAAAAACATTCCTGAATAAAAAAGTTCTCAGTAGCTGTTTGTTGAAAGTATTGCTTTGTCTTCTGCTATCTGGTGCAGCATTGGAAATTGGCATCTGGATGGATTTTAAATTTTCTAATCCTTCTAATTTTGAATCACAGATCATAATAATATAGATAATATTCTATTTGAGGGGCTCTGCACTTGAGAGAAAGTTCTCAACAGCACCACAAGGTAGCTCATTGTTCATTCTCAGCCTTAAGATGCATTTTATCTACATTAGGATAATTACTGTCACCTCCTTCTCATTCCAATTCAAATGGATTCTGTTCTTTTACTTTACTTTCATTCATATCTAAATGAGCTGTGGCTGATGTTTCACCATTGACTGGAATAGTGCAATTAGGTAAGTTTTTACTTGCTTCGTTCTCTGAATCTTTTCTACGCTTTTCCATTCTTTTTATGGTACTGACTTGTATACATTTACAGGTTTCATAGTTCAGTGGAAGATATCATGGACATTTCTCTATAGCTGGAGCCAGGGGTGGGTGATGAGTCAGTGGATACACAAATACACCCACTATAGGTTGTGCTCTCTAGGCTGGAGGCAGCTTTGTATACAACATACATGGCCCACAGGCTGTCAACCTTTCTGGATATTCTGGAGGCCATCTCCTTCTTCAAGGGTGTGTGGCTACTGAGGAGTGGATATTGAGCTTGTTTTCTGTAGAAGCTAAAGAGGACCCAGAAATGTATAATAAATAGAGAAACTTCTGGGTAACAAACTATCACTCTCTATTTCTTGTTCCAAAAATAGGAGATGGGACAACTCTGCCCTGCCAGGATGTACCAAGCCCTTGCATTTCTTTCATAGGCCCTGCCTCAGAATATCATATTTATCCACATGGCTGGTGAGTTTATTCTTTATTATAAATTCTACCAATTTGCCAAGGATAAATCATACTTACTGGTCTATATTTCCCAGGATCACCTCTAGAGCCCTTTTTGAAGATGTGTGTTATGTTGGCAGCCTGCCAGGCACAGAAACTGTTTGCAATTATAAGCTACATACCACTGCCAGAAGTTCTGACTTCCTTTGGTCACTGGACTCTGTTTCCCCATAGCAATTAGAAATGGAAAAGATTTATTCAATAATTCCCTACTGTCAGAGATGGATAATAAAATCCGTGATCCAAACTTTACTGAGGATCTGGATTTTTCAGCTGAGCCTACCTCCATCTTCTACATATTAGTCAGCATTTGTTAGTGCCACCTTGAAATAACCCAAATGATTATAAAGTTAATTCATATCAGTGACACTAAACCTACACTTCGCTCATTGATCTGTTTCCTTTCTGGCATGTCATTTAATTAGAGCTGCTTTCTTACAGAATCACTGACCTTCATTGCAGTTCTCCCCATGCTTGTTTGGGTTTGAACATATGTGGCAGGCTATTCCTTTGAAACCCTCAAAGCAATGACAATTGCCATTTCCTTGAGTCCCGTCACTGCACTGAAAGGAAAACAAAAGGAAAATTGAAGTCAGCAAGGTTCAGGGGAACTGCATGATAGAGATGTTAATGTCTTGTAAGACAGGTTTTCAACCTTTTTCTTCCTGAGGCCCCCCAGCAGTCTATGAAAATGCCACAGCTCACCTGTGCCCCAACAACTGTTTTTCTGCATATCCAGTAGACTAAAATCTGTATTAAATTGATAGTCATACAGTCTGAGACTGAGGAGGGGGCATAGCTCGGGGACTTCAGCCCTGCTCCTGGCTCTAGGGGGCAGAGCCAGGCCCCAGTGTGGGCTTCCCTTGCTCCCCCCAACCTGCCCAGCTGGATTGGAGACTAAGGAGGGGGGCATGGCTGGGGGACTCCAGCCTTATTCCTGGCTCTGGACTCTGGGAGGACAGAGCCAAACCCCAGTGTGGGCTCCCCCTGCCGTCACCCCTCAGCTGGGCTGGAGACTGGTGGCTGGGGGGCTCCAGCCTTGCCCCTGACTTGGAGCTCTGGGGAGGTGGAGCCAAGCTGTAGTGCCAGGTTCCTCTCCCCCTCCCCACCCCCCCCACTGGCCTGGAGACAGAGGAGGGGGTACGGCTGTGGGACTCCAGGCCCACTCCCAGCTCTGGGCAGGCAGAAGAAAGCCACACGTTCAGGATTCACATCCCCACATTGCACCAGGCTTCTCCCATCTGGGGATCTGGTGCCCAGCTGGAGGGGTGGGTTCCCTCCCCCCTCCCCACCTTCTCCGCTGGCCCAAAAGCTGAGGTGGGGGTGTGGCTGGGGGAACTGCTTGGTTCCCAGCTCTCTGCAGTGGCCAGCGGGCTGGGAGGTGTGCTCTGGTGCCCCTCTGCTACTGGTATGGGACACTGCAGGGGTCTTGCTGCCTTTCCTGTTTGAAAAGTGAATGTCAGTTCATCTGCATATCAGATCAATCTATGCATTTTCGAGAAACCTGCCAAAATTGAATTGATTCAGACTTGGACTTTTTGACTAGTCTGTACTTAGCCTCTGTTACACCTGTCCATGCCCAGACATTGTATCTGAAATTTGAAAGCAAAGAGGCTAAAAAGGTATAGTTTCCAAAGCAATTGTAACTTGCCTTGCAGATACAATATATCTTGTGCTTCTTTATATAGCATTATGCTTTTATGCCTTAATAAGTATAAATCAGAGATTAATTATATGTAGAGGAAGCTAAAGGGCAAATTTTGGGCCACATTAAGTTGGTAAACATTTTAGAAGAGGCATACATCTCAGTACAAGATATTATACCCCCTCTTCCCATCTACAGTCTTCAATTTTTTCACCAACATATTCCACAGCAAGATAAGGAGATATCTTGCTTTTAAAGTCACAGTACACAAAAACTGTTATATAAAGCATAGGTGGTCTCCTTACTTTCCCTAACTGCAAATGATGTCTCTCACATGGAAAGAAAGAAAGAAAGCGGTGGGCGGCCATGGCGGCTGTGCAGCGGGGCAGCGCTCAGCCTGGTAATAACAGCTACAAAACTGAATAGTAGAAGCCTTCCTTGACAGTGAGAGGAGTTCGTCAGTTCTGGGGCTCCTAATAACCCCATGGCAGTTGCATGGTGTACGTAACTGCTGGCATTACCCGTTGGCTAAGTGCATATCCCGTAGCATTCGGCTAGAGAAAGTCACTACAGAGCAACCGAAGGACAGTGTCGTCCTACCCCTGGGTAACTGCAGCTTCAGGGAACCAGAGGTTCTCTAGGGATCAGGACTTTTCTGCTGTGATCTCACTGGGGATTGCAGCCCCTAATGCCGGGCCGGGCAATTATATCGCCTTAATGAGTTCTGTGAGCTGTCCAGGGCCTCAAGAGTAGCCCCGTCTCTTGATACATGCCCTGCCCGTGGTTGCCATCTTGGGAGCAGATTTCCTGTCCCTGACCTTTGCCACCAGAAGTCCCTCCCCTTGTCCCCAGACGTACTCCTTTTAGGGAGGGGAGTTGTCATCTTTGAACCAGAAAAAAAAACCAAATCACATACTGAGTTAAAAAAAAAAAGAAAAGAAAGAAAGAAAGAAAGAAATATAAGATTCCTCCATCCTTTTCAAAATAGATAGCAGGAGTTATACAATTAAGATGATGTCTGTAGGGTTAAACCCCCTTCCAATTTATATCCACACTTTGGCTTTCTGTATTCTCTTTCTCAAGTATTTGGAAAATATTATAAGACATATATAATTTCCAGACAAGATGTATACTGTTTCCATGGCTGGTGCAAATGACACAAATTCTGGCTAAAGCTTGCCATGCACATGACCAAAGTCCCCACCAGGAGTACGAAAAGAATAGTGTGCTCTAACTGTGGGTCCAAAATGATAGAATCTGGTGCACTCACATTGCCTCTGCCATAGCAGGGATTGGAAAATCCACCCGGACATTGCGTGCAGTCAGGACCAAAAAATCCTTTGCAACACCCAGGTTTCTGGAAAAGTTGTAAACATTAGCAACACTTTACCAAGCAGTTTCTTGAGTGCTGTTAAACAACATGCAACCTGAAATCAGATCTTTTAGCTGTTTTTTAAAATCATGAACTAAGAGCCTGATCCTGTTTCCAAGTTTGAAATTCACTCCCTTCCCCAGTGGTGGTAGAATAATCAAAGTGACTTTCTGGTCTGCATTCTGACTATACTTTCAGCAGCTCCCACACCCAAGTTTATTTTTTTGTTTCCCCGCCCCCTAAAACTACCCTAAACACAGTCAAGCATTACTGTATCTTTTTCCCCAGTAGAGCCTGCTTTTTTCTCCTTCTGCTTCTGACACACATTTTGCATCCTTTGTTGTTTGGTTATACAGGCCCACATCCTTCCTGTTAGCAATTCCTGCCATTGTCTGAATTATTTAAGAAAAAGGATGCTCTTTCTGTGTCACATCAGATACCTAATGTGGTTAGCCAACAGGAGCACAACTGGAAGGCAAATGTTCAGTCAGTATTTTGCCAGCTACATGTCATCATGTATTATCGATGACTTGCAGGCAGTGTGGTATCTCTAGGGAGGATGAAACTTCTTTTCCTAAGCATCTGACTGTTTCATAAACAGGATGTGATTATCCTTCAGATTAATGTGCTCTTATTGTACTCTGCTTCCTTCGATAGAAGTCTGTTAGACAACTGTGGGTCTCTAAGAAAAGACAAGTTGTTAAACAGTTCACGTTGGTTGTTATGGTATTTCTTTCATTTAGCTCTGCCATTTCATTCAGTGAAATTCATACAGGCTTTGCCAATCTGCCCCCACCAGCACTTGACGGGGGAATCATTCAGATGAGTCCATATGTATTCTGCTCAATGTTTATTCACTGCTGAATGTTTACCTCTAAGGAGGAGCTTAGCCATGTAGTATCGCTTTCCCCTGGTCCAATGGCAGAACTTACTGTGGAAGCACTTCTCTCCTTTTCCAAGCAGTGTTTCAAAGACTTAAAGCTGAAGCCCTTCAGATTCAAGGAGCAGAAGCAGAATAAAGTTTCCTGTTAATGTAATGTGCTCTTGCATGCTCTGCATTGCACTTACCAAAATGGTTTGATTGCAGTATCTGGCACACCCTTTTTTCATAACATTCAACCCCAATGGATCATGGACATATACACATTCTTTGGGGAGAGGCTCTGGTTCCTTCAGAAAAAAAATGAGTCATCAACACAATAACTTCTCCTTGTCCCTGGCTGCAGAGGGTAGCTATCTATACTGCTGAACTGAGCAAATTCACGGGACAGCCAAGGTGAACAAGATAAGATTATGGTGCTTCTGTTGCAATACAAGATATGCAGTAACTTCCTTTTTTTCACAAGCAACATCTTCCTGTTCTTATTTTAAAATTTCTTATCATGCTGAACAATGCAGGTTCTTTAACATTTCAGTCAAGCCAATCTATCTAAAAACTCACATGAAGTGAACAAGTTAAATTGTTCTTACTCCCAGAAACAGAGAGAAGAGATAAAAATAATTCATGTGGTGTTATCCAATGACATTTGGGATGAATTTGGCCCAAGACTTTACCCCACATGAGGTCCTCTTTTGAATTTACAAATATGACTGGTAACTAAAGTCTTCTTAATTTATAAAGTCCTGTTTTGAGAAATGTTCAAACAGTTTTTCAGAAAATCAAGCACCTTTGCCTGACCTAAAATTGAGAAAACCACATCATTATTCATATTTGAAGATCTTTGTCATGATCTCTGTCATGAATTTACAATGGTTCTTGAGAGCCCATCCAATTGCTGTGATGGATTTTGTTCATAACTTAAAAACAAGGTGCTACTCCCTAAAGAACAACAGAATAACTACTGTAGACCATGGGTAAATGTTTCAAAAGTGACTTAAATGTTCGTTTACAAAAAGTCACTTAGGCCTTGTCATGCAGGATTTTTAGCATACATTTTTCCATTGTAGTTAATGTAAAATAACTATAAAACATGCATCCATAGTCTTCATTTATTCCAGTTTAAGCTACTTACTTGTAAATTTTTGCGAGTGCACATATACACACAAAAAAAATTATGCATGCATTTTATAAAAACACCTATACAACATTCTAGCCTGATATCCCATAGTTCAATCCTGTGCCCTAAGCTTTATGCACTTGGAATTTTATTACAGAACAGTGACAGATGTATACTGTTTGTGAGTCAAACTAGCATCCTATAATTAATTAATCTGTGTTTTGTGAGCCATAATCATTTCTGAGCTGTTGCCAGCAGAGCTGGCAGGTAGATTCAGGGAAGTCCAAGACCAAAAGGGGGGACGCTTCTTCATCCCACCAAAAAATTAGATGTCTTTTACCTTTCTTTTTTTTGTGTGCCTGTGACAAGGTATTTAACAGGATTCATAGATTCACTGGAATCTGACAAGGCCACACTATAAGTACCACTGTTGTGACCTTGAACCTACAACCTCAAAGCTATTACCCATGCATCTTAGGGCCATGCTAGCCCAGCTCCTATCTTTCACCAGCTTAACCTAAGAAGCTCTTGAGCCTTGGGTAGTTGTCCTACTCATCCCTAAAACCAGGCTTGTGCCCTCACAGCTAGTGCAAGAGGGAAAGAAAAAGACCACCTATGGTAGATGCTCTAAGAAACCGCTTTTCTCTTCTTTGCAGTGTGCAAGCCAGAATTACCTGTGGCAAGTTAGGGTGTTTTGATGTTTTGGTATATGGGATGTTTTAAGCCCATTGTAAGCTTATTTACCTGTCTGAGAAAAGTAGAGCAGCTGACAGTACACAAGTGAAACAGGCTAATTCAAGTGAGAGGCACTGAAGTATGAAATAATTGCAGAAAGTCTGTCAAAAGCAGAATGGTTAAACCAAAATGTGGTAGCTGCCCTTTTGCATCTTTCTATCCTGAGAAAAAACCTAATTCCAGAATAGAGTTTTTATTTCCAGAATAGATAAATTATTGCAAGATATGATGCCAGATAATGTGGAACACAAACCTGTGTGTGTTGACAAAAGGTAGCTTATCCTCCAAAATAAAGTTATATTTAAAATAAATAAATAACTTTTTAGGTAGGGAAGGAGTGAGGCTTCTAAAGTATATTGATATTTAATAAAACTTAGGGTCCAGAATGCCATTTGAAAATGGAACTTAAGCCACGTAGGTGATTCAGAGAAAATCTTCTCCTGCCTTATCTATTGGTCTGGGTCTGTTCCTACAGACCTACACCCTTAACTCAGGCAAAGTTGACTCCAGGATTTGACCTTTTGCTAAAAGTGAACCCGCTGATGTAAATGAGACTAGGTAACAACACTTTGTGACAACGAATTTGTGACCCCAAACACTGAAACTGACAGCAAAGCAGATAGAACCCAAGTCCCCCTTCAAAAAAAAAAGCATGCCTATGTGAGACGTTTACTGCTGTTGACAAATTAGTTCTGCAGTAAATGTCTCAGCATCTACACATGCAGAGCTACTAGGCTGAAGTAAACTAATAAACTCTGTAGCAGAGTAGTAATTTCTAAATACAAGTACTACCCTGCTGCAGAGCTTTTTACTCCACAGCAGCGCGCATATAGACACTGATCTGGCTGGGGCACAAAGGTGCTTCCATATGCCATCTATTCCTGCACTCAACCACCCTCATGCCTCAGCCACACCCTCTGCAGCATGTTCAGCTGGGGCAGAGCTGCCCTGAGCTGGCAGTCTGACCCTGTGGACTCCCTGCTAGCTGGGGCTGGTTCGCCTTAGCTCCATGTTCTGCAGTCCCAGGAGCCTGTGTAAATATGGCACCCCAGACCAATAAACTCCAGTGTGACAAGTGAAGAGTTTCTTGTATTGCATTAATATGCACATGTAGATGCATCCAGATTTAATCTCATTTGACAGGTATGATATACATCCAACTACAGGATCCAGTCAGTGACTGAGTCTTTCATAGCCAATGGGATTATAGACTCAATGTGTCAGTTTCCATGAACTGAGAGTTGCAAGCTCCCATTTGTCTGCAACACAGCAGGTTTACTGCATAATCTCCCATGACCATGATACAAGCAGGTACTTTCACACTAGGAAACAGAAACATGGTCCTCAGAAAATCAAGCTTGGGGATTCTACTAAGAGGCAGGTTGAAAGTGGCACAAGTGTAATGGTGGAACCCCAAGACTGTGCAGATTCAAGAACAGTAGAAAAAGTTCTACCTGTGCTAAGAGTGAGGTTGTTGGAAGCAAGAAATCTACAATTTCACTTAATATGCAGAGTATGTCATGGCTCTCTCTAATGTGTTCTGCATACTTCAGAACAGGAGGCAGCACAGACTACTGAGCAAAGCACTGAACTGGGATCAAGGAGACCTGGCTTCTATTAACAAATATGCAACAACCTTCTCTGCTTGACCTTAAATAAGTATTTCCTTGAATAGAAGATGACCCTGATTATAAGACAACACCCCCCCTGCAATAATTAGATTCTATCTATGGAAAATTTATAAAATTATCATTTTCCATGCATAGAATCTAATTATTGGAGGGTTCCCTTGAATTTGTCCCCCTCCCACTGCTACAGCATGGAAAACAAATCTGAGGGATCAGGTAGCCCTTCATTCTCTGCTTCCCCACAACTTTTTCCCCGGCATCCCTTCCCCCACCCCTTCCTGGCAGACCCTGGTCTCCCTGAGCACATGGAGGTGAGGAGCAAATGTGAAAACAATAACCTTGAAGTTAAACATAGCTTGTTTAATGATGATGCATGTTACCTTTTTTTGAAACTGCTGCAAGTTTTAGTACAGGTGTTTCTTAAACACACTTTTGAACAGCACCTTTGGCACACATATATATAATCAGGCCAAATCACACAAATCAGTTCCAAATTCTCTTAACTGAGCAGAGCCAGCCACCGACCAGAAGCGACACAGAGGTGACTGCCTGACTGCCCCCGCTGCTACGCCTAGAGGATTCCAAGGATATTCTAAATTCTGGACTCTTCCCTACCCCCACAGCTGTATCCCACATCTCTCTATTTGTAAATCTGTGTGCGCTTACAACCCACCTCCTTACTCAAATGTGCTTACAACCCACCTCCCCACTGTTGTGTGGTCTCTTGTATATTCTTTGCTGTATAAGCATTGCACTCCTTCCCCACTTTTTTCCTTCTTCCTGGGCTTAGTTGGCTGTATGTTTCTTATGTAACTTAGTTGTGTTCCTTCCCCTTCTTATTTAGTTTCCATTGCTGAGCACGTGCTGCTTTTGGCAGTGATTTAATGATAGACAATATATTTAGTGAGGTGTCCTTGTATGCAGTTACAAGATGAGGGGCTTTTTTTTCCCTGTACCAATTGTGGGGGAAAACTTTGTCGTGTATTCAAGTAAATATAGTACTTCCCCTCTCTGTGCCTCTGTTCCCTTCTGATACTTTGTCTGTATGCTCTTTGGGGGAGAGACTCTCTCTTATTATGTGCCTGTATGGTGCCTAAAAGCACTATGGGTGCTAATATAATCTAAGCAGAAATAATAAAAGGTATTTACCACTTCTCTGCTGTGAGGTGGGCAAAGGCTGGTGTTCAAGGCTTTGCAATCAACGCAACTGCCCTGTTGCAAAAAAAAAAGAAGAAGAAAAAGAAGAAGAAACACATTTTCTCAAATGTAATCTCATTTTAATTCTCCCAAACAGAGACATAAATGGAAATACATACAGGCTGGCAGTAATACAGATTCATCAATGCAATATGAGTATGTAACCCTAGAAGCCTTTTGGCTAACAAATATTCAGGCTCAATGCTGGATATTCAGTAGTTATGCTGGAGAGCATGTGCTCTAAATTCCATTATTCCATGAAACAGTTGGGAATCTTCTGTCACTTTTGAATCATTTTCATGGCCACAATTGAATAATGGCTGACTATACACTTGCTTGTTCATGTTCTAACAAGAACGCATTAGTCTAGTCTGCTCCGTGTTCATGTTCTAACTAGAACTATTCATGGAGTCTGCTCCATGTTCTAATGAGAACACTCCTGCATCACATCGCCATCATGTGCATTAAGCCCCAACACATTTTAAATTGACTGTGGGGGCACTTTTTCTAAACATCATTGAATGAGCTTTAGATAAAGTGCCCTGCAGCAAATTTAAAACATGCTGGGGCTTAATACACGTGACAGTGAGCCATTTCAATTAAAGCAGCTGTCTAGGAACTGCCCTAATTAAAACACTCCACCCTCACCCCCAAGGATGTATATAGGCAGCCAATGAGATGTAAAAAAATGGACTTTGTACTGGTGTGCCATTCCATATACTTTAACATAGCTCTTTCTAGTATCCCTGTCAACCTGTCAGTGCCTGAATGCTAGACACCAGTTGTGACAAAGATTCAAAATAAAGACCACAAGACTCTGCTCATGCAGGGTGCTTACAATGCTGTGAGATTCCCTATATTATGCAGATTTTAATTGCAGGATGAAAGCATATTAAGAAAAGCTCAAAGGTCCACCTGAGGGTTGATGGCCCATTGAAGCAACATAGTTAAGAAATAGGAATTTTTGGAGCCATTGGGAAGGCTAGTATCACATTTTGTTTCCTTTGACTCCCCAGTCCAAATGACCAGGTACCCAGTTCCAGCTGGGTCAGCTAGGGCAGGGAACCTCTGGCACAAGTCTAGAGCAAGACTCAAATTCATGCCTCTGGACCCAGAAGGGAGACACTTTAACTACTCTACCTGCATCTAACAGGATCCACCTCTGGTGGTTGTGGTGCCCCCTAAAGGCCATACAAATCCTGTTTCTCACTGTCTCTTCCCAGGTGTATCAGCCTGATCTTGCCCAACACATCTTGATGGAAAATTTATATAAATTTGGGAGGTTCCCCTTAAAATACCAGTGCAAGTCTATAGGAAAGACTTGCTACTGGACCACCTCATTCTGCCATGGTCTTTTAACTCTGATTCTCAGCAGGGTCTCAATCCTCAAAATGGCCTCAGTCAGCACACTCACACAAAGTCCTGGGGCCTCTGATAGCCCACTCCCTCAAAATCCTGTGGGTTTCTGGTGGCCCACTCAGTTGTGGTTCTTTTCCAGCCCCACTTTGCAACTGTCCACAGTTAAGGTTCTCTTTTACCGTCTCTGTCTCCCCTCCCCAGGGCCTCAGTCTCCCCTAGCTCACTTCTTCAAAATCAAGAGGTCTTTCCCAGTCCTCTCATCTCCCCTTCAGCCACTCCCATGCCTCATGGGCAAAAACAGAAACATCACATGCAGCATAACCTATGAACTTATCTCTATGATACTCTCCCCAGAGCTGCTTCTCCCTTCAGGATCTCTGCCAATCTGACTCTCCTGCTCTGGAGCTCTGTTTAAATCCCCTACCTGGCTCTGCTCCTTTTGGTCATCAGGCTCCCTTATCCTAATGGGGCAGGGGGATTCCTCTTTTACTAATTAGCAGGATTGCTGTTCTGCTCTTTATCTGCCCCTGCATCCTGCACCATACTAGCAGGCTTATAGCTCTGCAGTCTGCCTCTTTGCAACCTGCAGTTTACAAACTAGAGTCCTGCAACCCTTTAGATCAGCTGTCTGGTCCCACTCTCTGTAACAGGGGTTGGGACCCCTGTTACACTGTACCCCACATCTGACACTATGAAAAAACTTATACTTGTTAGCACCAGATGTACTTTTACCTTCCATAATCTCAGCAGGCACGTTCAGATAAGCGGGAACATGCACCTTGCAGCAAATGTGAAAATGTTCTCTGCATTGCATATTTGCAGCACATAACCAATATTAGATACCAGAAAATCCAAATATCAAAAAAAAGGAGAGTGCCGCATGTGGCTGCAGTGTGTGCTGCCCGAAACCAGAGCCTGGCTGGCCAGAAACCTCACTGTGGCTGCCAGCCAGGCTCCACATGCTCACATTGCCACCCTGCACCCCAGAAGGCCACCAGGTGAGGCTGCTGGGGCCTGACCAGATGCTGGCCCCAGTCTCCCCTACCCAGAGCTGTCCCTTGGGTTGGGTGAATCAAAGCAATCATCCCAGGCCCCACACTTTGTGGGGCTCCGCAGAGCTGGGCAGAGTGGCCGCGGCCCCTCCCACAGGGCCTGTCAGGACCTGGCAGCTCAGCCCCATGCCATGGAAGAAGCACTGTGTAGCGGGTGCTCCTGCTGCTCCATGCACCCCAGTGGAGGCCTGGGGGGCATGTGTCCTCCTGCTCTGTGCATGGGGCGAGGTGGCTGCTGCTGCGTGCTGAGCTTTGTGCCATGAGCCCCAAGCTACAGAGTAGATCCAGGATTGTACCTTACTACAAAAAGTGATCTTCACCTTAAAAATGGTGGAGTCCACTGTGCTAAAGCATGTCACTGTAGCAACATCGCCATATGGTGACATGTGGACATGCCCATTATATCCCAAATCAAACTCATAGGACATGGATGTTCAGATCCATTTAATAACATTATCAAACTAGTTAGCAGAGAAGATTGAAACTTGATTACCAAAAAGAGGTCTTAAGAAGCCAGATTCCTTTCTGAATCATATATATATATATTGAATATGAAGATAAAAGTAGTATTTTTAGTTTCCCAAATTCCTAAGAGAAAATAGCTGACTTCTCAGTAATATTATGTGGAAATGGTAGCAGAGGAAGTGCTTATATTGGCTACTCAAGGAAGCAGCCTAATGTTGAAGATTAAACAGGGTAAATTAAATTTGCTACATGTGAATACACTGACTTAACTTGTCAGGTCAATTATAGTCTGATCTACAACATAACCAGAGCTTTATTTCTTTTCTGTAGTAGTCACTTCAGAAAGAATGAAAAAATATTCACTTACTGTTACAGTGGTATGATGTACTTCATTGCATCTCTGTGGCAGAATGGGGATTATTGAAGAAGGAATGAAGATGCCATCCAAAGTATGAATGATTCCATTAGATGCCACAATATTATTCATATTTAAGGGAATTCCAGAATCAGTCAACAGAATTCTTCCCTGTTACAGAAACACAAAAATTCTAAGTTATACTTGCTCTTATTGGGAGATTCTGGGCTCATCTACACATGAAATTAACCCATCTAAATAAACTCTTGTGCAGTTTGCACAGGAGTTTATTGTTCCTGGGCACAGCATTTAAATGTGCACCTCAGACTGCTGCACATTGAGCCAGGGCAGCACAGACCTGGCTGGGAGGGTCCCCAGGGAGTCAGCCTGCCAGCCCAGGGCTGTTCTGTCTTAAGATGCTGCCAAGGGGCTGGCAGAGACATGAGGCAAGCCAGCAGACAGCCCCACACTGTAGCACTCTCATGCCCTAGCTGGCCCTGGTCACCGTCTACACATGCATTGCGGAAGAGTAAATAACTCCACCATAGGATAGTACAGGTACTGAGTAGCACTTACGTATGGTGGAGTTAATTATTTTACTCTGGACTAAGAGCTTCACACATGGAGATGGATATGCTCTATTGTGGAGCTAAATAGGGAACTTCACAGTAAGTTTCTCATGTCAATGCACCTACTGACTAAAACAACAAATTTCTAGAGCTAAAGTGGGATATAGACACTTTGTTCAGTCTCAGATAATAATGACATAATACCCATCATTCTTAATGAGAGTCATGCATAGGACATAAGAAGAAAATACACTTTACAGCTTTAAATAAATCTAATTTGTTAGGCACAGGGAGTAGCAGAGAAGGTTGCAAGTCACCATATGATACTTACATCTGTGCTAATATTGATGGTCACTATCTGGTTTGCCATGGTTATAATATGTGGCATCATCAACAGCTTCTCCACAGTCACCTGAAATTTTTTTACACACATAGGAAGATATATATTATATATATTTGCAATACATTATGTGTATATATGACAATGCTATGAAAGAGACATTAATCTAAGGAGAGGATAGGGTTGAATACATTTCAGAATAGTTACAAAACTCCCTCCATGAACTATTTTTAAATAGTTGACTTTAAATAATTAAACTTTATCAAATGTCTGGAAAATACATATATGGCTGAAAGAGAAGTCCAGGGCACTGTGTCAATCACATGCAATATTTGAAATAGAAATCGTATTAATGGTGTCCTCTTCACTTTTTCTTTTTGTAAATTTGACACTGTAGCATAATTTATTTTCCATAATGAATACAGTTGATAGCATGTTCAAAAACTCAGACTAGCTAAGTCTGAGAACATCCAGAGCATGTTTGTAAAACATAAAAATAAAGTGCTAAAACTACTGGTTCATATGCTCATCGCCTATTACAAAGCATACTGGAAAATTACTGTAGTTTTCTTGGTTCCCCCCTGCATCCATCTAGTAACTTTTTTTTTTTTTTTTTTTTAGTAATAAAAGGAGTGTGATGGAGTAGAAAGACACACTAGTGAAGCCCAGGGCTTTTTAAGATTTTGATATCAGACCATTTACTGCTCTGTCCCTTATATTATAAAAGCTATGAATTAGGGAAAGGGTTTCAGGACATGCTGGATAGCTGAAGTGAGGAAAGAAGTGGTCTAGGGAATGTCTAGGGAATGTTGCAGTGCTGTGGAGAAGTGAGACTGGTGGGGACTACATTTACACTGGTTCAGGAGTCTGGAACTGGACTTTATGGGGCAAGATGGATCTGGGTCCCCACTACTACAACCTCACTCAGTGCTAGAGAGACAGCAAATATCGTAAGAAGCAGAATGAGTTATTTGTAGGGCTGTGAGAAGCTTCGGTCCATGATTTGATTTGATGGAGATTTGGCTCGATTTGGTGACCTAATCTCCGAATCCAAATGGAATCAGAGGACCCTTTAATCTCTTCCAATTGATCTGGAACGCCCTCAATCGATTCGGACAGATCTGGCAATTCGGACACAGATACAGCTTCAAAAGTTTTTTCTACGTACCTCTACGGTAGCAGGGGCTCTGAATGCTGCGGTGCTGGGGCAGATGCAGTGTCCCAGAGAAGCACGAGGGACTCCCTAGCACACTCGGCAGCAGACCCCAAAGCACTTCCGGTCCACTTTCTGGTCCACTGGGGAGTGCACAGGGGGGTCCCCCCATGCCTCCCCAGCTTGGCAACTGGTGCCTCCTGGGACTGGAAGGGGCACCCAGGGTCCCCCTGTGGCTGACCACCGAGCTGGGGTGGCACGGGGGGGTCCCAGCACACTCCCCAGCAGGCCCAGAAGTGGACCGGAAGTACTTCTGGTCCACCTCCAGGTTCACTGCCGAGCAAGCTGGAGAGCCCTCTGTGTTCCTGTGGGACGCTCCATCTGCCCCAGCACCGCAGTGATCATGAGCCACACTGGTACTTCAAGGTACGTAGAAAAAACTTTTATAGCTGTACCTGTGCCCGAGTCACTGATTTGCAGAATCAGCATCAAATCTTCAGATTCAGATTCAGCCAAATCGAATCAGGGACACTGATCCGAATCAACAGACTGAATCACTGACCGCAATTCGGGCCAAATCCAAATTGAATAGGGCCCACTTTGCACAGCACTAATTATTTGGTTAGCACACTTGGTGCTAGTTGTTGCAGAGAAATCTCAACTTTGTACAAGTTGTACACATCTATTAACTTCAACACAGCTAACACCAGGAGTAAAATTTAACACGTTCTATTGAATAAAGCAAAAGAGACAAACATACAGCTCCTGTTTAATGTTGCCCTTCTTATATAATAAATTGCAATAGTAAGCATTGGTAAATCCTAAATAATGTGTTAATAAAAAAGGCAAAAGACCATTTGTCTGTAACAGATTTTGTGAGGCAATATATTTAAAGATAATGTGACAATGAGAAAGACTGCACCTTAAAACTGAGATTTCATAGTATAGTATAGCATACTCATGTATACTGCAACATTCCCTAGATCACTTCCTTCCTCAGTTCTCTGGATCATCCTGCTTGTCCCTCATAGTTTCATGGTTTCTAGGGTCGGAAGGGACCTGAGTAGATCATCTAGTCTGGCCCCCTACCATGGCAGGAAAGAGTACTGGGGTCAAACGACCCCAGCAAGGTGTTCGTCTAGCTTCCTCTTAAAGACCCCCAGGGTAGGTGCCAGCACCACTTCTCTTGGAAGTAGGTTCCAGATCCTAGCTGCCCTGACAGTGAAGTAGCACCTCCTGATATCTAGCCAGAATCTACCCTCTGCCAGCT